CTCCTAACTGTCCCCCTGCCGGCCTGGTCACCCGTTACTGTCCCCCCTGCCAGCCTAGTCTCCCCCAACTGCCCCCACCGCTGGCCTGGTCACCCCACGCAGCCTATATTTAATGTTACAAGTTGTTTACTTTATAAGTTCTTAAAAACGTTTTTAACTTATTTACTCTTGAAAAACTAGGATACTGGTGAATGTACAGATCTTGCATACGTGGATCCTCAGCTAAGAATTGCTTCCTTCTCACAGAAGTGTGAGATTTTACCAGGTATGCGATAATACATGTTTATCCTCTAGTAGTACCTGTTGATCCCAGATAACTGGCTACGTCTTTTTACAGGATTGTGCTTTAGGTCCCATGATATAATCAACAAACCTTACAGCTGTACCCCATTTCTGCACAGCTGTGTTGTAGCTGATGCAGCTGGGACTGCTCTTCAAGTGGCCAGAGGGAATATGGTGACAGAAGGAAAGATTTATGTTCTTTAGGCAAAGCTGATCTCCAGATGCAATGTCAGCTGGTCTTCCTTGTGTATAAGATGTCACTACATCAGGTGTTATAAATTGGGGAAGCTGTATCTAATATTGAATCACTCAGAATAAAATCCTTTCAATTAAAAACTTTTTTCTCCTGCATGTTATAATGGGGGAAAAGCGAGATAGTGCAAGTTTATGGTCACACCAGTGTTTCTTATACCAAGAGTTGGCTTTTTTCATACTTGGAAGGAAGATATTTGCATTCATTCCACAGTGAGAAGCATCATTGAAGCTCCCTGCTCACCAGAATCAGAGGACTTAAAATTTTCCCACTAGAGAATCATTCCTTTAAATTAAGCGTTGCTTTCTTACACTGTCTTTCAAAAATGCAAAAACTTAGGAACAGTGCAGCACATTGATATTGAAGGTGAACTAACTAACACCTTCTGATGGAAGGTTTCCCTAAATGCCCTTGACTCTGAGGAGAGGAAAAGAGGGCAGGCAGTAAGGTGAAGGTCACACAGACAACCTTTACTCACTCACTACTGGCCTTAGGCTGCACATGGCCCCATATAAATGAGTGCTGGACAATGTGCAGGAGAGATACTAGGCTAGACAGCTCCTTCAGTACACACACTGACTTAAAACCTGATTCTTCTTTCAGAGAAGAATTTCTTCTTAGGTTGCCCTGGCTGCCCCGAAGAGATACCTGTCGACAGCCCAGATATGAAGGAGGCTCTGAATCATTCCATTACAAAGCTTAATGCAGAGAATAATGCAACTTTCTATTTCAAGATTGACATTGTGCACAGAGCAACATCACAGGTCTGTAAATTAAGCTACAAAAATAGTGATATTGTAGTCTATGTGCAAACTGCTTACTAATATTGCCACTGATCTTGGGTTGGGAAATAGTATACCTGGTAAAAGGAATTGAATGTCAAGTCTCAACCTCACTACATGCTTGCTATGTGATCTTGGAAAAGTCATTTAGAACATTCTATTTTCTGTCCACAAAGGATTGGGGTGAGACTCAAATAAGATAATATATGTCAAGCCTTGACCGGGTAGCTCAGTTGGGTAGAGCATTGTCCCGATATGCCAAGGTTGCAGGTTCTATCCCCAGTCAGGGCACATACAAGAAGCAACCAGTGAATGCATAAATAAGTGGAAAACAAAAAGAGAGATAATATATGTCAATACATTATCTTCTTGAAATTTAAAGTGTTATATATACTATAGCAACTTTATATTATTAATAAAATGTATGGCAAGGAAAAGCTACTCTTATTTTCTGCCTTTCTAGAGTGGTTTCTTGTTGTAGCATCACTTAGTGCCTTGGGATCAGCCACATGTCAGTCTATCATCACCCAGACTCTCTTCACACTCTCACCTCCAGGTCACTTCCCCACTGCCTACGTGTCCTTCCAGCCCACGAATGTACCCTCTAGGGCTTCATCTTTCCTTCCATGCCCTGTCAATAGATAAGGAGCATCCTAGTCTGGGGGTCAGGAGACCCAGTTCTACCAGAGCACCAGCCCTCATGTCCTGGGTAACCCCGGGCTGTCATTCAGACTCACACATCTTGTGCCCCATCTGTAAAATGAGTGGCTGGGTGAGAAGAGCCCAAATTTCTTCCAACTCTAACAGCATCTGAGTCTATTATTCATGGGCACATTCCTATTGTAAACCTCAAAACTGGCCTCCTTAAATGTAAACAAAAAAGAACCAACAAAAGTAATCATAGAAGCAACAAAGTGTTTCAGCAAACCAATATAATTTGATGGGAGGAAGGACTTCACTTATAACAATTCATACTTTTGGCTCAGTAATTGAATTTCTAGAAATCTAAAATAGAGTCTTTACATTCAATGATACTCATTGCAGCTTTAACTATAAAACACAACATGGTAAATTGTCAAAACTATCAATAATATAGAAATGATCAAATAATGTCTGGCATATCCTTAAAATAGAGTATCAAGGAATAATTTTAAAGTATCTTTGTGAGTAGTTCTTGATGTGGGAAATACCTTGTGTTAAAATATGCAGTGTGAAAAAAAGAGACCATAAAATTGACTATACATTCTGTTGTCGGGTGTTTTATAAAAAGTACAGAAAACAATACAGAAAGGAAACAAATACCTCCAACTATTCACAGTGGTGGCTTTAGGTGATGACACAATGGGCTATTTATTGTCATCTTCTAATTTCCTGTATTAGTTTCTCTACTGCAGGGGAAACATAACCAAATGTTATTAAAGTAAGTCAAACTGACACTTTGCTCTCTCTCCTACTCAGGCACTTATTCCTGCCCCTGACACCACAGCCTTTTCTTCCTCATTTCATGGGAAACATGACCCATGTTAGTGGTGTACTCACATGATACACCAATCATTGTATTCTTTTTTAAATTTAAATTCTTTATTGTCTAAAGTATTACATCTGTCTCCTTTTTCCCCCATTAACCTCTCCCTGGCCAATCCCACCCCCCAGCACATGCCCTCACCCCCCTAGTGTCTGTTTCCTTGGTTATGCTTATAGGCATGCAAACAAGTCCCTTGGTTGCTCTCTTACCCACCCACACCCCCCAATGCTATTCTTGTGTTTGTCAGCTTTTCTTCTCACTTCATATTTCTGCTTTCTTGTGAAACTCCCTTATTCTCAATGCAGGAATACCCTCTACTCCACCATATATTGCATATCAGAGGTTTGTCGTCAGGAGAGAACCACTAATTTTATACATGACTATCTAGTCTTCATCGTACTTACAGTTCTCTGTAAATTAATGAATCAATATCCAAGCATGATGTGTATTTGTTTATGCTAAGGATGCCAGGGGAACAACAACAGGTAATACTGTTAATTGAAGGGAACTGTCATTCCTTCTCTTGCCAAGTCAATTTGAAATATGCTGAGAATCTCAAACTTACAAAAGATGAATCTTTACTGGTTTTTACATTTAAAGAGAACAATTTGGTTGTTCTGACATGATTATTCCAGGAAGCCCTGCTGGAAGCATCTGAGTTAATGGAAATCCATTTACCATGTGATTAATTTGCCAAATGACCAATTTTTGCCAAAGATTTATTTTACAGATTTGGTCTTGCCTTGGCTTTGGATATTTAGTCCTATTTGGAAGCATGTCCATTCCAAGATGGTTTCAGATGCCAAATATTTCTTAAATTCTCCGTTTGCACATGTGAATGATGTGATTTCTGTCACAGGCTGTTTATTTTGCTCTGTCTCTGCTGCTGCTTTCCCCACTGTTGTCCATATTCCTCCCTATCTTTGCTCAGATGAATATACTTCAAGGATCTGTGTGTGCACATTAAGGAAGTTTTCCTTTAACATAGTACTAGAAATGTCAAGGCATATGTATAGTATGTCTAAGACTTCTGATGCAAATTGCCAAATTGCCAAACTATTTGCAATTATGCCAATTTACATTCATACCACCTGGCTATAGGACCTTGATCATCTTGCTTTGAGTTCTATTCCTACCAACAGTGACTGAGGCTGCGTGCTTCCCACATGTAGCCAATACCAGGTATCACCACTGTTTTTATCTTTGTCAACATATGGAAGATTAAAAATGCTGTTGCATTGTTTTTTTATTTAATCTTTGATTATTAATGAAGATAGTTATTTGTATCTGGCTTAATGACCATTTTAACTTCTTTTCTGAAATACTTGTTCATGTCTTTTGTTCATTTTTTCATGTTGAGCTTTATATTCATAAGATATTAATCTTATACCATATTTTCCCCAGCTTTTATTTTTTTACTTTGCTTGCCGTGATTTTTGAGAATCAGTTGTCCTTTCTGTCTGAACAAATTTGGACATTTTTTTCTCCATTTAGGTTTTTTCCTCTGCTATTTTCCCTAAGAAAGGCCTTCTTCGTCTTGAGACCTGATGGATCCATATTTATATCTTCTGAGTTTATTTCTTCCTTTTTTAAAAAAAGTTTGAACCAAAATTTTTATTTTATTTGACTCTCTCCACCCATTCTCTCTCTTTTTTAAATTGTTTTATTGCTTTAAGTATTACAAAGAGTATTATATATGTCTCCTTTTTTTTTCTCCCCTTGACCTTCCCCTAGCCTCCCATACCCCCCAGTGTCTTGTGTCCATTGGTTATGCTTATATGCATGCATACAAGTCCTTCGGTTGAT